GATTTCTAGCTTGGCAGCCATGTTTAACTTAGGACTGTGTCCCCAGTGCCTTAAAATGCCTGGTACATGGTAGGTGGTCAAGAAATGTGTGGGAAGGAAGGAAGGGAGGAAGGGAGAGAGGGAGGGAGGAAAGAAGGAAGAGAGGGAGGGAGGGAGGGGACAGGGAGAAAGGAAGGGAGAGAGAGAGGAAGGAAGAAAGGGAGGGAGAGAGGGAGGAAGAAAGGAAGGAAAGAAGGAAGGATGGGGCAGACTTGCATATACCTCCTCTCCGCCTCACTGGGGCTAGGAACCCCTGGCTTTGTACCCTTCGGGGAGGCACCCCAGAGGGCCCCACCCTGTCCAGTACCCCCTAGACTCCCATAGACATCTGTCCTTGGGTCCAGGCCCCTGTAGAGCTCAGGACCGGCCTGGGCTGGCTGCTCACAGCATGCTGTCCCGAGTCACAGGCCAGCTCTGGGGCCCAGCTGTACTGACTGTAAACAACACCCCCACCCTTGTCCAGAGGCTCCTGCTTTGGGCACCAGCCCAGTAGACATGGTTGGTGCCCCCCCCAGGGTACCCTAATGTTTGAGGGCGGGAACTTGGCCTCCTTGCCTAGAACACCCCACTAACTTTAAGAACAGCTTCAGTTTACTGAGCTCATAGTAAAACACCATCTCACTCTGCTTCCTGATGGCAACCCTGGAAGAAGGGTGACACCATCATTATCTTTGTTTATGGACGAGGAAACTAAGGCTTCCAGAGGCTTCTCTCCCCCTCTCCCACCCCCAGAGCCCAATAGAGTTCTTTGAGAGGGGCGGGAAAACTTTTAGCTCCACTTCCCGGAAAGAAGTCAGCAGGTGCCGGGGGCAGCCCCTCTGCCCCTCCAGCCCATCATCTGGCCTGGGGCCAGAGCCAGTGAAGGGTGAAGCTGGGGTGGTCAGGATCCAAATCTAAATGAAATAATCGTAGCTGACTCCTCCTGGGCATTTTCAGTGCGTAGTAAGTGTGAGCTACAGTAGGCTACCACGTGAATTAATTCACTGAATGCACAAAACCACCCTAGCAGGTAGATCCTATTAGCACCATTTTATAGATGGGACAACTGAGGCTTAGAGAAGTTAAGTTGCTCACAAGTGGCAGAGCCAAGATGTGAACCTAGGCAGTCTGGCTCCAGAGTCTGTGGCTTACCCTCTACTCTTTACTGAGGCTTGTTTGCTTGTTTATTTATAATCCCATAAACACTTATTTAGACCCCTTCCCATGTCAGGTTTGGGAGCAGGAAAGACAGAATAAGGCACTTGCTGACATGGAGAACTGGGATCCAAGGCAGGCTGAATCACGGAAGTAGAGGGATAGGAGATGGGAGGTGGGGGGAGGGAGGGGGCAGGGTTTATCTCTGGGCCAGGGAGGCGTGGCCATGAGGGTGGACAGGCTTGGTCTGGTGGAGAAGCCCTGGCCTGAGGTTCTGGAGGTCTGGGATCTTCATTCCACCTCTGCCACTGACTTGCTGTGTGACCCTGGCCAAGGCCCCACCCCTCTCTGAGCTTGAATCTCACCATGATACCACAAAGAATTTGGACTGACTTCCAGAGCCCCAAGGACACAGTGGGGGCCACATTTAGGGGTCACCCTGGGGAGGATGGAGCTGGCCAACAAAATGAGTGGAGCCTCTGCCCCCACCCCCAGGCAAATGCTGCTTTCATCTGAGTTTGAAAGACAAGGTTAGGGAAAAGGGTCTGAACACCTCGGTCCTAGGGCTCTTTGGTTATGGCTGTGACTCTGAGCCTGTAAGTCTGGAGGACTTTCTGGAGGAGGAGGCCTTTGGGCTGGGCCAGATCTTTTAAAGTAAAGACACTTCCTGGGTCCTCTGTGCCCTCACAGTCTCTGGCTCCACCTGACTCGGATCCTGTCATAGGCCTCCAGGCCACAGGGGCTGCATCTTTTCAATGTACCCTGCCTTGTGCCCATGCCCACCCAAAAGCTATAAGATGTGGGAGTCCTCTTTCTCTGTGGGGGCTGCCAGAGTTCCCAGGGTCCTTGAGCAGGCCTTGGGAGAGGGAGCTGCCTCTGCTCCCTGGTGGTGGGGGGAGACTGGTCCAGGCTCCCAGCGGTGCCACTTCCAAGCTGGGTGACCTTGGACTAGTTGCTTGACCTCTCTGAACCTCCGTGTCTTATCTTCCATACAAGGATAATAGTACTTGCCTTGTAGGATTGTTGTGGGGAGAACGGTATGCTGGCACACAGTAGGCACTCAATGAATGGGGCTGCTATAATTATTCTTTCTGGAGTGAGGACTGCGGCGCCGGCCTACAGCCAGGTCTATATTTAGCCTGGAAAGGGGTGAGGGCGCTGGGAGACAAAGAGCGGGCGACAAACCCAGGCGCCCAGAGGGCGGAGCCGATGAATGACCGGCCCGCCGCTGTCCCACCTCTCCGCCTTCCTCTTCCATGGGGTCACCTTGGCCCTGGTGGCGGCCACCGGCTCCCTCAGACCGGACTGCCAGTTCCCTGCAGCCGCTCTTCCCCCTACGCAGCCCCCACCCTGCGGAGGGGGCTGTTGGAACCTGGGGGTGGGAGGTATTCAGCCCACTGGCCACTTGGAAACTGTCCCCTTCCCCAGCCTGGGCTGTCCCCGGCCAGCTCCCGGGCCGGCCTGCAGAGGGAGGAGCTTCGCTGGGGTCGGGGCGCCAAGGTGAACCTGACCCTGGGGGAGGGGAAGGGGGGCATCATCCGGCCCCTCCTCCCTCTGCCTGGCAGATGAGTGTCGGGGCTGCAAATAGCTCAATGGAATCAGTGAGTCACAGAGGCTGGAAATACCGAGCCCCCTCTCCTCCCCTCCGCTCTTCCTGTCAGCAGCCTGCCAGCACCTGGGAGTGTGTGGAGTATGGGGATCCCTTTAGACAGTGCCCAGGTGCCCTGAACCAGCCAACCCCTCAGCCGAGTTCCAGCGGGTTCTGCCTCTAAGCTGTGTGACCCTGGGCCAGTCACTCAGCCTGTCTGGGCCTCAGACCCCCCCATCTGGTACAAAGTGGGCTTCAAGAGGGGACCTGGTACAGCCTGTCCACCTTTGTGTCCCAGTGCCTGGGGACAGTGCATGGTACATAGTAGCAGGAAGTTAAATATCTCTTGAGTAAATGATTGAATGAATAAAAAAGGAAGTTGGAGAAGTTGCTGCAAGCTTGTCCACTGAAATAATCCCAAAATTACTGCCCAGGTGGGTCTAGGGGATCACAAGGAAGCTAAGGTACACTCACATTTTTGTGAGGTCTTGCGCTTTAACTTGAGCTCCCACCAACACCCCCAAATCTGAGAGTGCCACTCCGCTCATGGCAAGTGTGTCTTCTTATCCTGGGGTTCTGCATCTGGCAGCTCCAGCCCTGCGCCGTTTCAGAACCTCAGGCAGGTGATCTCCAGAAGTCCGTGATTCTGTCATTTACTGTGTCCACAGGGTGCAGTGCCAGGACCCTCCCGTGCCCCACCCCCATCCTCCTCCAAACGCCCCAAAATGGCAGGGGTGAGAAGCCAACCACACAGAACCCTGACCAGAGAGGCATGGAGGGCAAAGGCTGGCCCTGCCCCTTGCCCCGGGGACTAACTAACTTCCCCACTTCCCCTTGCTTCTGTAGGTGGGAAACTGAGCCAGGGTCACTGGGAGCAGCTGGGTTCTTGAGGTTAAGGCTGATGGAGGTCCCTGTCTTGGATCCAGGAGTGGGAGGGGACTGGTTGTGGGTTCTTCCTGTGATCCTCCCATCTCTGTACCACAGCAGGAAGGTGTGGGGCAGGGTGCATAGGCCGAGAGAGGCAGAGTGAGGGGAAATACTCCCCAGTGCACATGGGTGGAGAAAAGCTTCTAACGTCCTGGGTTCAAATCCAGCCTTCAGTGAGAAAGCCATTGCTCAACTGCTCAGAGACTCAGTTTCCCCGTTGATAAAATGGAGATTGTAAAGCTGATTTGAGAATGCTCTGAATTTGACTTCAACCAATGGACACTGCTTGATATTTGAAGGACAATGATAGGGGTGTATGTGCATGTTGTATACACACACCAAGTCTATAGGTTCATAGATTAGGAGGTGGAACGATGGGGGAGGTGCCTGGCCAGGGGAAGGTTGGCAAGAAGCTGGGGTCCAAACTTGGGGACCTGAAGTCCCGTTTGTGCTCTCTCTTCCACCCTCTGTCGGGTGATCCTGTCTGCAGTGGAGGCAGCCCCAGGTGCCCCAGGCATATGGGCAAGAGAGAGAAGGACCAGCCCCACCCCTCATCCCACTCTCCCCTGGAGGCACCAGCAGGTAGCAGACAGCAGGAGTTACACACAGTTTAGCACGAACCAGCTGTATTGGAAAAACCCCATCTATATACAGACACTACATGGCTCTGCCCTGGCACAGCTGGCTGGCTGGGGAACGGATCCCAGGGGCTTGGGGACACCTGGGTTGGCAGGCAGCCTGCTAGCTGGTTTGGGGCTTGGAGAGCGACGTGGGGAGAGTCACCTTCACGGCTGTCTGATCTGGCCTCCCTATGCCCTTGGGCAGTGCCACTTGAGATGGGCACCTCTATGATCTTCCCTCCGCCACTCCCCTCCCCTTGGCCAAGGAGTCCCAGGTCCTGGGTCTCCCTGCCCCTGCCCTGCAGAGACTCCATAGAGCAAAGGATTTGTCTGTCTGTCTGTCCTGCAGATTGTTTGCCCAGAGGTCCTGCCTGGCCCAGTACTCTTCTCTCAAAGTGGTTTCTCTGGGTTCCCTCTTTCCCCACCAAAACTTCTATTCCAGATTAAATGACGGAGGCCACATCTGGAACCTGGGGGCTATGGGTGAGGCAAGAGGGTCTCAGACCTGCCCCGGGCAGAGAGGAAGGCCCTAATTTGGGGGGATGACCCACCTGGGGTCTGGGGGGCATCAGGGCCTGGAAGCCTAGCTGAGATGTCTGGGAGCTGTCATAGAGAGCGTAGGAAGACTTGTCTGGCAGACCAGTTGGGGAGTCAGTGGGGGCTGGGGGGTCAAGGGTGGTGCGGGAGGGCCGTCAGATTTTTATCTCCGTCCGGAAGGTCTGCTGGACGTGCTCTGTGTGCGGGTGGCGCCGCGCGCGGATCGTGAGTCTGCCGTCCTCCCTGAGGGCCGAGGTCACCGACGTGGGGTCCACATCCTCAGGTAGCTGGCACTTGTGGGCGAAGGTGTTCATGACCGTGCCATCAGCTGCCAGCTGGGGAAGGGGGTGGGTCAGTGCAGGCTGCCGCCATCCCAGTCCTGTGCACGTTAAGCCCCACACCCTTTTCAGAGGCCCCTTCCTGCCATTCTAAGCCTGGCCAGGCCCTCACATGCCCAGGGGCTCTGTTTGCAGGTGTAGAGGCTGCGCGGAGGGGCTGGCCAGGGTGGGGAACAACCACAGGCCATGGGCTATGCAGGGACAGGCAGAGAGGTGCTTAGATGAACTCCTAGTTCCATGGGGGAAGTGAGGGGCTTTACGAGCGAGGGGGCTCAGTGTCAGTGGCTCAGAATCTGGGGTCACTGAGCAATGCAGGAGAAGATGGCAAAGACAAGAGCTGTGTCCTCCTGGACACCCGGACACGCTGAGTGTCCCCCGACATGGGCTGGGCCAGCGGCCCCTCCCCCACAGCTTGGCCAGCACATAGTATCCAGAGGAGCTTGAGGTGGCTGAGTCACCATTGGGGGTGGCAGAGTTGGCACATGCTGCCTGCTGGTGCTGGTGCCCACAGTTCTTGGCTTCCCTGGCATTGGTGCCCAGGACTTCAGCCTCCCTCATTCGGCTCTCAGGGAAGGAAGCTAAGCTGTGGGGATCCAGAGGCGCCTTGGGCAGAGCCTCTCCTCCTCTCACGGCCCCACCCTTCTCCTGGCTAGAAGCCCCTGACTCAGGGACCCTAGTGACCCAGTGACCCTGAGACCCGTGGGTGGAGGGAGTATAGGGTTTGGAGTCCGTGGGATCCTCTGCCTGGCCTTGGGCCCGATTCAGGGGTCCCAGGAGGGGGCTGGGCCTCTGGTTCTGGGAGAGAAGAGAGCTGGAAGGTGTGTCAGGTGGGGGAACTCCTCTCCCCCCCACTGCTCAGGCTTCACCCTGCCCCCTGGACACCCCTCTTACCCCCTAGAGGAGTTGTCCTCCCTCACCATCACCATCTCCCTCCTCTCACCCCCACCCCAGGCTCCCCTCTCCCACTGGGTTTTTGGGGACATGAAGAAAGAACCTGGGAATGCTGGGACAGAGAGAGGCAGTCAGGGGGGTCCCATGGTCCATGAGCTACAGGGGACAAGGTCCCCTGTTTGTCCTAGGGGAGTCTGTGGGGGAGGGAAAGGGCATAGGTCAGAGTCTGGGGTCCCAGGATGGAGCGTGGGAGTAGGGGGACGCTGAGGGGCAGGGGCGGACTAAGCAGAGGATTAGGAGCAGGGGGCCAGGCCTACCTTCTCAGCCCGCACTTCGATGTGGTTGTTGGAGGTGGTGACAATGATGTCTTCAGGTGAGAAGTCACTCACGTCTACTGCAAACTCATAGGCGTCTCCAAGGGTCTTGATGTTGCCCGGCCCCCCGGAATGGGCTGTGGGTAAGGCTGCCATGAGCTGGGCACAGAGGAGGACTTACTTCCTAGAATCTGAGTCTCTGGCTTGTTGGGAAAAAGGTGGCTTCCCTAGGCCTGGCCCCTTCTCAGCTGTTGCCCCTAAAGCCTTCTGTGCCCCACCTCACCTCTCACAGCCCACCTTCTCCATGGTGGGGATGGAGCCTCACCCCAACATAGATGGGTGTGTGTGGGGGACTCAGTCAGCAGTTCCACTCCAGGCCTGGAGGGTAGGGGATACCTCCCACGCCTCAACCCCACCCAGACCCCCAGGGTTCCAGCTAGGACCCAGCCACAGCTACAGCCACAGCTGGCCACTGGAGCCATATCTGAGCCCCAGGCCAGGGCTGTCCTTGGAGGCCCACCTGTGCTGATGGCCCCATCTGCGCCTGTGGCCACATCGGTCCTGGTGGCCACGTGGCTGTGCAGCACCAGTTCTGGCCGCCTTCCATGGTGCCCTGGAGCAGATGCCCCCTACCTGTGTGTCCCTCTTGCCTCAGAGCCCCCAGCACTTGCCTGGGAAGGTCAGAGGCTCCGAATGGGGCCGCATGAAGCTGCCAAAATCTTCAGAAAACATGCTCAGGGCCTTCTCCATGGGTGGGTCTTGGGCCGGGAGTGCACGAGAGGCAGAGGAAGAAGAGGAGGAGGAGGAGGAGGAATGGAAGCTTCTCTCCGCTCTGAAGGTGGAGGAGGTCCTGTGGCTCATCCACAGGCGGGCAGCCCGGCCCTGACCAGGAGGGCAGGGGTGGATGGGAGAGGGATGTGGGCTATAGGCCTCTGGGGGAGTGTGCCGGGGCCTGACTGCTGGCGCTTTATAAGGCCTGACTGTCCCTGGGCTGTGGGCCAGCCCCTTGTCTACTAACTAAATTTAGGCCTCTTTGTGGCCCGGAGGGGGCTGGAACTCTTCTCCACCTAGACTGCCCTGTTGACAGGCCATGCACGCAGGCTGCTGGCTGAGCTCACTGCCGGCAGGCATTCCAGGCTGATAACACCAGCCCAGGGGCCTCCGCACCGCTGTGGGGTGGGGAGCTGGATTCTGTCCCCTGGCGCTCAGACCCCCATGCCTGCCCCACAAACTTCTGTGGTTGGCGGACTGTTGTTCTGGAAGGGACTGGCTGTTTCTGTGTCTTCTGTCTCCTCCATCAGCCCAGGCCTCTCTAAAGACTGTGTCTCCCCCTTCAGACTCTAGTTCCCAGAGAGCTGTGCCTCCTCTGTCAGACTGTAAGCTCTTTGAGGACAGGGTTTCCTCTATTTCCTGCCCCCTCTCCCCTGAAGTTCCAGTCCTTGCGCAGGGGGGGATCTGGGTGGTGGGTGATCAGGGCAGAGAGGTCCAAGGCCCTGGCTCAAATCAGCTCTGGGGACACAGGAGATGGCAAGGTCGGAAGGTCGGGGGTGGGGGGACCCCGACCTCTGTTGGGCCTGATATGAAGTGAGAGGTTGCTTCCCTTAAGGCAGACGATGTTTACGGTCCATCTCTTAGGAAAGTCTGAGACAGCCCTGGTGGAGGGGGGATAGAATGTGCAGCTGTCCCCCTGCCAGCTCCCACAGGGACTGGATTCCATGCTTGCCCTGCCCCCTCTGATTCTCGGAACATTTAGGGGCCCCAGGAGGAGAGAGCTGGCAGCTTGAGGCAGGGCTGGGGGTTGGGCCCAGATAACTGGGTGATTGTCCTTAAAGATCTAGAAGGTTGTGCTCCCAGGACGCCATCTGCTTGTCTTTCATTTCAGCTGAGACACCTGAGACTCTAGCGGGACGGATTTCAGTTAGCGCTAAAGGAGACTTCTCGAAGACAACTATTCTAGCTCTGACTCCTGGACACCTTCTGGGCTCCAGCTCCTGGCTGCGTTCTTTACCGGCACGGCCCTGTTTGATCCCCACATAGCTTGGGAAGGAGGAGGTGCTATTTGCATTTAATATTCAGGGAAACAGGGCTTGCCAGAAACAGAGGGGCTTGCACAGGTGTAAGGGACAGAGCTGAGATTTGACCCCAGAAGCATCTGATCCCAAGCCCTTGCTTTGGACCTTGAGGACCTTCTGGAGGCTGGGATGATTTGAACATACATGTATGGAGACATGTATGGATGATGCTTAAACGCCCCTCTCCGCCCACCCCGGCTCACTAGAGCCAGGACTGAATCACTGAGACTAGGGGCAGAGACCGTGGGAAGGCCATTCTGGGAGATTACAGGCCCCTCACCTGGGTTGCAGGGCTAGGCCTCCCATTTTCCTCTCTAAGTCCTGCCCTTGCTTCCCAGATCAGCTCAAGGCCCTCCTCCTCCATGGAGGCTTCTTGGATTGCTCCAGCCACATAGGGGTCCCCTGCCAGAAGCCCACTCCCAGTCCTGGCAGTGTGATATGGATTTCCCTGTGTTCTCTGATTTCCTGGCTATGTCCTCTCTCTCCTATCAGACTGGGAATCCCTTGGGACAGGGGTTCTTCTGTCTGCCCATTAGACTGGGGTCTTCCAAAGGTGGAGACTGTTCCTCTTTCCTCTGGCACCCGCAGAGTCCAGTAAAGAGCTTCATCCTTGGGGGGCTCTGTCCGCAGGAGTAATTACTGGTGCTGGTGGTATGTGAAGTGGGGTCAGGGCAGGGCACGGCAGAGGCTGAGCTGGGGGTCCAGGTGGTGGCTGGAGCAAGAGGGGTCTATCACCCCCAGTGGCGATCCCTGCCTCGCCCATGTCACCCATCCTGACCAAGGGGATTCTAGTCTGGCTGTCAGGCAGTTCCCAGCATGAGGTGCCATAAAAAGAGGGTGGGGGTGGGGGTAGGGGGTGGGGGGGCCCAGAAGCCAGCCACCCGCCAGGGAAACAGGAGCCAGTGGCTAAATGCAGACACATTGTCATGGTGCTGAGGGCCTGAGTCATGGCTCCTGGACTTCAGATCCCGTTACCCACCCCCCGCGCACTATTCCTTCCCCTTCTCCATCCCTGGGGTTTCACCTGCACATTTACTGGGTTCTCTGTGTTCGGTGGCCAGGAGGGACCTGGCCTGAAGATCACAGGGATCTTCATCTGATTCTCAAACCTTCCGGGGCATCCCAGTCACCTGGGAGAGCTTTTAACAGACAGACTCTTTCCCCTGCACCCTTAGATTGTGATGTAGAGGGAAAGGATCAGGAGTCTGTTTCCGTCAGCTCCCCCACATAGCCAGTGTTTGGGAACCATTCATCATTCAGCAGATGTTTATTGAACACCTGCTATGTGCTGGACACTGTTCTAGGCTCTAGGTACTAGGCAGATACAAGTGCCTGCCCCCATGGCTCCCAGGCTGTCCCAACTAGACAGAAGAAGAAACCGAGGTTCCTAGTGGGGAAGGAACGGTCAGGGGAGCAGAGCTGCTCTGGCTTCAAGCTTGCTCTCCCCCTGCTGAGCTGCCTGCTCTCTACTTGCTGAGTGTTTCAGGGGGAAGAGAGAGATATTAGGGGTTTGGGAGAGGCTTGCCCTGGGCCCTATGCCCCCTTGCTGCCTCCTTCTCAGTTTCCTGGTGCTCACAGGGCAGGGGGGTGAGGGTGTGGACGTGTAGCGCCAGCCGGCTGGCTGATGCTGGCTGTGGGACTCTGGCCAGCAGCTGCCTGAGGCCAGAGGCTGGGGTTTGGGACGTCAACAGGACAGCCAGTTATCCTGTTACTATAAACAGCCAACAGGTTGGGGTAACCAGGGAAACAGGGAAAGGGTGGGCCCAGGTCCACACAGAGCAGCAAGTCCTCTACCTGTACCCCCCCAACACACACACACATAC